GGGATTTTATTTTCTTTGTTGTCCTTTTTCTGGGCATTGTCACTGCACTGTTCTTCAGGTGGTGGTGTGTTTATGCTTTGTAAGAGAGAAATGTCTCCTCATAAGCAGTGAGAACACATACTATGTCAGCTCAGAGTAATGGATGATTTTGGAAGGAAGCCAAGATAGAAAACATGCCACTTACAGTTAAATAAAGATAATAATGCTAATTGATGAGTTATAGGGCAACAATACACATTGCTAATGTGCTGTGCTTGTTACTGAGCTGATTTTTTTTGCAGTAACAAACTGAATGCTGAAATCTGCCGATCAGTTTGGAGTTGTCTGACACAAAGTTAGGCAGCATAACACCATGCTGGCTAAGAATCACATACCTTTTTTTTTTAAGGCTGAACTGCCTTCCTAGGGTGCACATTTACTCAGCTAACAGTACATGGGAGCGTGAGCACTGTGGTTAAGTTGCTGAGGTGTGTGTGTGGTATAGGCAGCAGAGCACTTGGGTGTCCGGATGCTGCTGCCAGTGGTGTGGCCTGCCTGCCTTGTTTCTGGGCTTCTCAATGAAGAAGTTCCCCAGATCACACCCTGAGTGTTGGCTATCTCCCACAGTCCCTAGGCTGTCTTTGAGAAGTCTGTCAACTTTTGAAAGATCTGGAGTTAGCCCACTGAAAGCACAGTAACTCAGTGAATATTAGCTGGGCCTTTTTCTAAAGGGAAGACCCCATTTGGAGCAGGTCCAGAGGAGGGCCACAAAAATTATCAGAGGGCTGGAGCACCTCTCTGATGAAGACAGACTGAGAGAGCTGGGGTTGTTCAGCCTTGAGAAAAGAAGGCTCTGGGGAGACCTTAATAGCAGCCTTCCAGTACCTGAAGGGGCTGCAGGGAAGTTGGGGAGGGACTGTTTACAAGGGCTTGTAGCAATAGGACAAGGGATAATGGTTTCAAACTGGGAAGAAATTTAGACTAGATATAAGGAATAAACATTTTTAAATGAGGATTGTGAAACACTGGAACAGGTTGCCCAGAGAGGCTGTAGATGCCAGCTCCCTGGAAGCATTCAAGGTCAGGTTGGATGGGGCTCTGAGCAACATGATCTAGTTGAAGACGTCCTTGCTCATTGCAAGAGGGTTGGACTAAATGACCTTTAAAGTTCCCTTCCCACTTAAACTATTCTGTGATTCTATTCACAGGTAAATGGCTGTCAGAACATGAATAAAGTCTTTCTGTCTTTGTGTCTATCTGTGATAATATTTCTTTATCATCATCTGCTACCTGTTTCTCAGAACTTGGTAGCTGGTGCCTTTTGGTGAAGCCCAGCCCTGTGAGGAACAGTGAATCTGGTGGACACCACAGCTGCCAGCCTGTGTTGCAGATGGTCTCAGTGTTACGTGTGTGTTTTCATGCATAATACAGGAAATCAGGTTTGAGGTCTTTAGGCTTAATTCCAGTCAAAATTCAACAAAATGTTTCCACACAAAGGATACAGCTCAGCATTTTCAGTGGGCTGCCATGGAGGTGCCTGAATGCTTTGATTTTTGGACACTGAGAAGCAGACATCAGTCTGCAGAGACTCACAAAGACTCAGACACTCCTAGTAAGCATGAATGCATCTTTATCTGAAACCTTTTTAATCTAGTTTACCAGCTGGAATATAGCACAGGAATCTCACCTCGCCTGGTTTTTAGAGGAATATTTGATTACCAAGTTTGCTAACTAAGCAACAGTGCTGCTGAAAACAGTGACCCAGACCTGTTAGACCTGTCCTAAGTAAGAATCATTATTCCTTTAGGTGCTTCCTAGTATGTTCCCAGATTATCGCAGTGTTGTAGGCAGTTTTGGAGGAAAAGATTTCTAAAATGTTAATGACAGAGTTACAGCTACAACCTAAGGGGAGGGGGAGCTAAACAAAAGAAGGATTCATTAGAGAACAAAAGAAACACTGGAGGCTTTTAACCTAGGAGTCTCCCACACAGTAACTAGGTGTACTGCCAATGTGCTACAGATGTGCCTTACATGAACACATAAGGTAATGATATGTCTACAAAGGGCTGAATTCATCTGTTTGATGCTTTGTCGTGAATTATACTTAAGCAGGTGGGAAGCTGCAAACTCCCCAGTCCCTCCATATGTCAGAAATATGATATTAAGGGGTCCAAGATCTCTTCTGCAGGTTTTGTAGAATCACAGCTGACAGCCACACCATGTGTTGGTAAATTGAAGCCCTGCTCTACTGTTGGGAAGTACAGCCTGTGGTTTTGCAGAGGCACTGTTTGCTTTTCATTGTGAAGGGTTTGAGGTATCAGCTCTCTGTTTTTAGAATGCAGGCAGGGAATAAAGTTTCTGGAATGAAAGAGGCAAGCCATACCTCTGGAGATTTCAGGGGCTCTCTTTTTTCGTGCCTTGCCAGGTGAATACTGGAGGGATGCTCAGATGGGGCTGAGTGAGGAGAGCCTCCCTGGGCTGAAGTGCTCTCTGGAACAGCCTACAGAGGCAGTGCTGTCCCTCATTTGGGTCAGGGCACACCAGGCAGCCCCTGCTGCCTAGAATACCCCTGAATCAGCCTGGGGAGAGGGGTGGCCTGTACATAGCACCAACTTCCATGAAGACTGTGCAGTTGTACTCAAAATATTTGAGCCTGCAAATCAGGATTTAGTCAGAGAAATGTGACCACTGTGCCTGTAACCCAGGGTGTGGCAGTAGGAAACCCAAGCTATTTACACTACAAAGATGTGTTACAGGAGTTTGCCCAACAGTCTGGTTTGTGATTCACTGCAGAAAATAAATTACATCTGTATCCAGGATTCAGACCCACTTGTGATCAGGACTGGGAGTTACACTAACTTAACTGCAGTTTCTCTTGTTCTTTCCAAGGACAACACAGCTGGGAGCCATGAATAAGATGTGGCTTTTATTTGTGACTTCTACAACAGTGAGGTTGGACCCTTAGTAGGATGGGACCAAGGAGATCTCAAGGGAAGCAAGAAAGAGGATGGGATTCTTGCATCTGCCGACAGATTAGAGTCAGAATGAAAGTACATTAGAGATACCTATTTGTCTGTAGAGATGCAACAAAACTACACCATTAAAAATCCAGTTCTTCAGATTTAGATTTATTTAACTCTAGGTGTATCTGTATAGTTTTTCTCATGCCATTCCATCTTTAGCTATTGTGCATTGGACTCTCATTGAATACAAAAGGTATTGAGGCTGCTAGGAAGATCTTTAATTGTAGCTTGTTCCCTTTTTCACTGTACATTATGAAAAAAAATGTAGTAAGGAAATGCGAACGCTGGGCTAGAGGAGGTCACCAATCATCTATGCACCTGCCAATCCCATTAGCTACTTTGGATTTTGCACTATATGGGCCTAAAGGAAATATGGCCTAAAAATAGCTGTCCAACTTTATGAAAATGAGTCAGCCAAACCTTCCTTCATCTGAGCTGCAGCTGCCTGAGCATTTTGAGCAGCAGTAACAGAAAGCTGCAGTATGGAAGCTCTTTCCTTCTCTCAGGAGGCTTGATGTTACAAAGGATAAAGAATGATGGATGAGAGATCTCCCTTGTTTTTAGTTAAATAACTTCTAATGCTACCTAAGAGGAAGCAGAGGGATTCTGTCATCCCACCAGCAGTTTAGATACATGCAGAGCTTTGGTTTGGTGGCTGGGATTTTCAGAGTCACCACTACTTACTGTTATTTTTTCAGATCAACGTGTAGCTTTGCATTGGCCCTCTGCGACACAGTCAAATTCATGGTGGCAGCAGACCTGTTGGTTACATTAATGAAGGGCATCATTCTTTGCAAACAGTTTTGTTGTTGTGGTTTTTGTCTCTTAATAATGTCAATAGGACTTTTCTGAGGTTTGCGTTTTTCTATTGTGGGTCCTTTTTAAGCTATTGAGATAGTGATATTTCAGAGAGGAAAGTGGGGGCAGGGGGAGCCTAACTCCAAGTCTGCAAAATAATTTATGCTTTAAAAAAACAAACTACCTCTGTATTCTTCATTCATGTTAGTGATAGCTCAAAGAAGGCACTGCAGTTGAGTGGCAACTGCACCAATTAGCAGAGCTGCTGTTGGTTTGTGAATTGCATGTGAAATGTAGAATTTGTCCAGAAGTGCTAATGCAAATTGCTCAACAAAAATGTGCCCTCTGTGTCAAGTTTTTCAGTTGTTTTGACACACTGATGTCTTCTCAGATTTCTCTGATCGGCAGATCCTGCTCTCAGTTGACAGCTACCAGAGCTCATAAAGCAATGGAAATATTTCCTGTTGCCATTAGCTGTGTTTCTGCAAAGGGGGCTACAAGCTGCCTTGGGACTGGGTACTTGCTATACAACATAATTTTTACTTTTCTTTATAGGGCGCTGAACTTTACAATTCTAGAATTAAAAAAACGAGTAAATGCCAAAGGTTTTACCAGTGCAGAAGCTCAACGACCTGGTATCTGCCATGACAGTAATTTGGTCACTTTGCATGTGTTCAGCATCCTCTGTTCTTGTATGTGGTGATAACCTTTGTGCCTCACCATATGAGGCTGAGTTACAATTGCCGTGGGAACTGTAACTTAGCATTTCCTGACTTCCAGCATACAATATCTCATCCTAACACTGTGTCCTTTAAAAGAAGAAGAAGTGGAGCAAGGGCACATTGAAATGTTGATGTTCTCACACCTACAGAATATAAAATAACATATTTAGCTGGATGCAGGTTTAAGTTGTGTTCATAACTGCTTGGGCTGTGGCGGGTAGCAGACCTGACTCGTAGTCACAGTTAAGAAGTCCCATAGTGCTGGGGTCCCTGCAAATGCAGGATAAAAATATATTCCAACCTAAGATAAGAGATAGCACAGGGAGGTAAATGTAACAGGGAGTACAAGGGAACAGAAGAGACTGCTGGACATCATGGAGATAGGAATTTCTACCAATTTCTACAAATGTAACAATACTGGGAGCAGAATTTAGGGTCAGATTCGTATGATATTGACAGTCTCCTCCCAGAAATGAAGTCCAGCAGGGTGGGAAGAGTGAAGGTTGTTCTAGCTAAAATGTAATGTGGAAAAAAGCTAAGAATGATGAGGTAATGGAAAGTCTCAGCACTGAATGAGAGATGATGCATGAGGGGGCATGTGCTGCAGCTGGATTTGAGAGCAAGGGAGGGGGCTGAAATCCAAAAGAAGGAGAAGCCAAGAGAGGGTTGCAAAGAGATAAATGGCACAGTCAAGATAACGGGTAAAGAAGGCACTTGCCTGCCTGCAAGCAGCAGAAGATTGCAACCATCAGGGTGTGAGGCGATGAAAGCCTGGCTGTGGGACTCTGTAGGGAGGTTTGAGGCAAAGATGACAACCAGGTTATGGACTGAGTGACAGGCAAGTGATGGTGGTGTCCACAGGGACTGAAGAAACAGAGAGGAGAGGAGACCTAGGGAGTAGGATGAGAGCCTGCTTCGAGCTTGAGCTGACAGATATCCACAGGATTATCCCAGAGGCAGGGTGTGAATTTAGTTGAAACAGATAGGAACTGGGCCAAGGACAGAGAGGTGGGTCTGTGAGTTGCTGGTGGTCCTTGAGTGTGTCTACAGAGTGAGCTTGCTGAGAGATACAGGTGAGAGGGAAAGGAGAAGAGGCATGAAGAAACAGACCCGCAAAACGGGGGTGAGTGGGAGGGTAAGTAGTTCCGAACTAGTCCGAGTAACACTGTGCAAGCAACTCAAGGTGCTGGAGTCAAGTAGGAGCACTGGGAAAGGAGGGTCAGATTTCCGGCAGAGCATGGTCAGCAGCGCTGGAAGGAGCTGACAGGCTATGGCAGCCAGCCTGGCATAATGGTGCAGAGCTGCAGCCACACAAAGGGTATTAGAGACTCTGAGATACTGGTTTCTGCAACAAGCGAGAAGTGAAAGCCTGTTTGGAAAAGAATCTGCGTTGGAGATGGAGACTAAATTTTCAATATAAATCATATAAATCATAGGCAGCACACTCAATAAGCTTAGAGATGACAGTGAGAAGAGAGTGAGAGCTGGAGAGTCACTTGGAGTCAAGGGTTGTTTGGATTTTTTATTATTTTTTTAAGCATGAAAATAAATAATGCTTGTGCTGTGAGGAAATGGGCCGAGAGGAGAGCATGATATAAGGAAGAAGGAGGAAGGTGGGAGCAAGAAACATGAGAAAACAGGATGCATAGTGATGTTGTCTAGACAAGCAGAAGGGCTGGGGACTGGTGATGAGGCCACCACCTCTGTGGCCAGGAGGGGAGAGCTGGGCAGGAGGTGAAGGAAGGCAAATAGGGGGAGAGGTAGATCACATCGTGCTTTAAGTCTTTCACGGGAGAGATCAGCACACTCTTGTGCAAAGGCCTGTCTCCGGTGAAGGCAGGAGAAGGCAGGGCTTGAGGAGTGAGTCAGAGGCTGCAAAGAGGCAGCTGGGATTGCATCTATGAGAGCTAGTTAAGCTAGCAAACATGAGTGTGCATTAGAAAGGTGGCAGGATGGAAGGAGGCAGGAAAGCATTCATGGTGTGGACATTTAAAGCGTAAGAGATAAGCAGTTGTCTCAGAAGATGTATCAAGGTGTATCCAGAAAGCCTCAGAAGGTGTGAATAAGGGCTTGATAAGCTATGAAAGGTCTGCCTTAGAGACCTGGTAGTCCAGGGATAAAGTCAGTACTGCCAAAAGCCAAGCTGGGTTAGGCCTTGCAAAAGAAATTAATTCAGTAGTGGAGTTTTCCTTACTCATATAAATAAAGGAGATGAGAGAAGGGGAGGACCACACAGTGAAGCGCATGTTGAGGTTAAAGACAACCTAGGCAGAGCCCAAATCAGAATATCTTGTCTCAGTTTTCACTAGAGCTAGTAAGATTGAATGTCAACACGAAGGCCAGGTGTCTAATGGAAACACAAAGATTACATCCAAGGTGGAAGAATAATCAAAAGCTTTTCAAGTACTGGAACTAGGTGATCTGAGTAGCCTGGATTCAAGGATGTTAAAAACTAGCTTGTGAAATCATAGACCTGGTGTGCCATCCCAGCCACCCCGGCTTATCAGCAGCCGGATACTTGAAACGGCAGCAAAGATGATGTGCATTTTGCTAGGCAGCTGCAGCAGAAGACTACATCCCTTGGTCTTGCTAGCTATCTTTTGGACACACTTCGCTGTTGATTTTAGACTGAAATACCACCTGCAGGGACAAGCACCTGTAACCAAAGGGAAGGGAGTTATTCCAGCTTTTTGGAGTCAGACAGGGCGATCCTGGAATTTATGCACGAAGTTGTACAGATGACCATTTTACAGATGACCAATGTGTCTGCTTTGGTGCTTGCATCAGTCACACTCAGCACTGGCCAGAGCCCACCAGAAAACTGAGGTAATGTATGTGCATGTTCTCCCCCTGGTTTTCTTATGAGCATGGAGCAGAAAGTAGTCCTGACTTCACCAGAGTCCTTCTGCTGTACGATCGTCCTCCCATGAGGGCACGATGTGAATGAGCTAGAAAAGAGTAGTAACAGAGAACCAGTGGTGCTCTGCAGATTGTTCACTTGCAAAGCAAATTGTGCCAGGAAATACTGAGAAAGATAACGCAGCTTTACTGTGAGCAGCAGAGGTGCAGCAGATGCACTCCCTGACCACTCACAGCATTTCTGCCAGACCAGAAGGCAGCAACAGAGTCGGTGAGAGCGCAGGAGAAGTCCCTGGAGGCATACAGAAAGAGGGCTGCTTTGCAGAGAGCCCCAAATCATTGTTCTACATTTTTCTGTGCTTGCTCTTTTTTATTACTTTTTTGCCTTGACAGAAGCAATGACATGGGGCAATTGCAGCTTCTTCCTAGGTTTTGAGGTAAGGTGCCTTCTGCATATGGAAGGAGGAGAGCATATGGCCCACTGTGTTTATTTCTCAGCCAGGATTCCTTCAGGCTTGGCAAATTACATGCTGCTTGCTGAGGAGCAACACAAGTGCCAAGTTTGAATTTCTAAAAATGAAAGGGATTTAATTTATCACAGCACAGAGAAGAGGATCTGAAAAACGCCCTTAAGTGTGAAAAATACCTTTTGTTTATGCTCAAACAAAACAACCAAGGGGAAACTTGACAACATTTCACCTAGAGTTAAAAAAAAAAACCACTACAACAACTCTGCAGTTGTCCACAGGAGACTTCAGGCAGCTTCTGCCAGGCGCGGGCTAGAGCCAGGCTCCGTGAAATACCTCAAGAACCAGCAAACTCCATGGGGTCCAAGGTGATAATGTGGTACAGGCTCGGGCCATTAGAAGGAAAGGGATTGCCTGGTAATGGGTTAGTGTTTGCTGCTAGAGAGCTCCATTAGAGCATCTTTTCCTCATATTTCTGCTTTTTCCAGGTCCCACATTTTTCCCTGTGTGTGTTAGAAGCTTTTCTTTCTCTTACAGCATTTATTTTTATTGTGGCATTTTCCCTCTGTTCCCCCTTTTCATTGGCCCTGTGTGACAGTTTGTTTAAACCATTTGCCTGCTTTCATATTCCATTTTTCTTCTCTCCCCCTTCCCAGGGGCTCTCTAGCTGTGATTGTCCTTACGCTTCACATTAGCTTTCCTCCCTCCTGCTCCAGGATGGACTCTAGCAGTACACTGATTAAAGCTAAAACCTTTAGCAGCAGAACTGGCTTCGGGGTCCAGCCACCTCTGCAAGCTCAGTTCTGCTCAGTTCTCAGACCAGTTTCCGAAGCCTCAGGAAATTTGCTAAGATGCCAAGAGGGCAGTGGCAGATCCTCTGGAGCAGCCTGATTTGTACCTTTGAAAGTCTCCAGCTATGCCCACGGTAGAAGGCAGTGGGAACAGGTTGTGGAAAAGCTGTTGTGTGGGCTGGCTTTTCATCTCCCTCCTCCTGCCTTTTGCTGCCCGAAAGTGGCTGCCTGCTCCCAGAGCGGCGGGGCGTGCGGTGAAGTGCCGTGATGGCACAGCCCCACGCAGCAGTCTTTGGGGAGGGTAATTACAGCCCTCGTAATATGCATAAAAATACAAGGTTGGGCACTTGGTGTTTCTTCAAATCCTCGCCCTCCTTCCCTGCCTGCTGCCAGCCCTGCCGTGGCTGCGGGCAGGAGAGCAGGGCTGCAGAGGCAGTGCCAAGGGGCCAGTGAGGGGCTGGCTTTGCCGGGCACGCTGGCAGCCCCCCCAGACCTCCTGCCCTGCTGCCAGGGAAGGGAGAGCTGCTCCTCAGGGAAGGGAGAGCTGCTCCTCAGGGAAGGGAGAGCTGCTCCGTCCTCCAGCGGCCGGGCTGGGAGCGGTTTGTGGGAGCAACCTCTGAGTAACAGATGGCACTGGTAAAACCCACACCCAGGCCTGCCTCACAGAAACTTGTCTGTGCAGCCATTCCCTCTGCAGGTCAAAATTAATGGCTTGATTAGCTGCATGAGTTCACTCCCGTGAGAAGAGTGTGTAAAATGCCGTTTCACCGGAGCACGGACACGGGTGCAGACGGCTCAGGATCAGGTGAGGCTGCAGAGCAGGCAGGTTCGCTCCCGTGGCTGGTGCCGGGG